TATCATACTTATCATTTTTTGTCAAGGAGTTCACTAAATTACATTTGACAATTGTTTTCTTATCTGATAACAGCTGAAAATTTTAATGAAGAACATTTCATTCAATCCTAACTTTTCTATTATCGTTTTTTTTTTAATTCAAATGTTTAAAATTTCAATTATCTGTGGCATCTGAGCAAAACATTGATTTTGACTATAAGAAAAGCTGAAAAGTGAGAAAACGAAATGCAGAGAAAATGAAGAGGAAAAAACTAAATCATGTGAAAATAAGGCTTCTCTAAACAATACTTTGAAATTTTCCCGGTTAAATGTTAAGATTTTATTTCAAAAAATTATTCTGACACGTTAATTTGAATAGAATTAATTTCTAAAAAAAAAAAAAAAATTTTCTCCTCTGGCATCATCCATTTTTTAAGCACAAAATTTAATGTGTGTGAAATTTTTCAGTAGAGAAATCTTTTGAATAATATTGAGCAATTCGGAAAAAGATATTTGAATTCCATTAGAAGCTGAAATTTTTGCGCATAAGATGGGCTAATTTTCGAGATGACTGAATTCGAACAGATCATTTATTATGCTTAATTCCATACACATATATGTGAAGTATTAGTTGAATTTTAGGGAAGTAAGAGATTTAAATTGGGCCGATTATAGGAAGGCGCAGGAAGTAGAGATTAAAATTTTAGCATGAAAATTGGTAATAGCGAGAATGAACGGAAACACATATAGCATATTTACATGAATAAACAATTGAAGGAGAAAATTTCAGTTCATAAGCTAAAACAGCAACAGTTATAAAGCATAGTTCACTTTACTCTCACTAATTTTAATATTTTAAAAATTCTTTTCCTTGTTGCATTCTTTTCTGCTTTTCAAATTAATACAAAAATATGGTTTGCGATATTAAATAATTGTTTTTTTGTTTTAAATTTTTTATAAAAATAATAACAAGTCTAAAATGCCATGTTCTGAAGAGTAAAAAGATATAGAAATTCAAAAAGGCGAACTAATTTGAACAGAGGCAATTTCAGTAGAATTGTACTTAAATTTAATTTCAATTCTATAGATTGCAATCTTTTGATTTTCATTTTTTTAAATATTTTTGCTTGAAATGTGATAGGTGATAAAACTATCATTTTTTTCAGGAAATTTTATACTGCTATACCGTAAATTGAGTATTGTTAAATTCGATCTGATCAGTTTTCCATATTTAGCACTAAATTTTTTCCATTATCTCAAACCTTCAATTCTAAAAATTCAAGAATTTTCACTTATAGTATAAATAATGACACGTTAACAATTAGATATGCATGCGTTTGTTAGATAATAATATCAAAGTGTTTTATCTCTGCAAGTTTTGCAAGTCATAAATTAATTGAATTGAATTGCTGCGATACATTTGCTGCCGAAATGCGCCGCATCATTTATCATCAAAATATCAAAAAAATCTATATGACTACTGCCAATTTCCACTTTTGTTCGAGAATTAGAAAACTAATTTCCTTATTTTATACATTATTTCAATAATATTATGTACTTAATTTCTTTTCGAATATCGAAATTGGATAATTATTTTACACCAATTATAAGAAAAAAATCCACACCATTGACCTCTAGAATTATAAAATTGTAGAAGTTGCGGCATAAAATGGAGCAAAAACTTAGATCGAATTAAGAGACCGGGAAATTTGTAATGTTATTATTTTTTAGAGCAAAGCTTCCTGATAACTATCATTGATCATAATTCAATCTGATATCATAATTGAACTTAAACTCTAATTTTCTGAGCAGAAATAAACTTCTCAACTAGTTGACTGTAGAACTGTGCGTTATTTAAAAAAAAAAAAAATTCCATTTTTTTTTTTAAATTTGTAATCCATCATTTTTAGGAAAAATACTTTAATGAGGAGCTATGTAGCAATAGTTAATAGCAAATATACGATTGGAACAATTTCCAAATATCGTCATCAAAATTTCAACATTTGTAATAAAACTGAATATAAAATACAAATTTTTACCAGGTGATATTGTGTATATCAAATGTTACTTAATATAGACCTATCTAAATGCTTATGAAATGAGTCATTCAATCTACTAATTATAGTTGTCGTTTGAAAGGAAAACGAAAAAAAAATAGCATTAGGAAGATTGAAATACATATGTACTTAAAATTTCATTGAAGTTGTTAAAAGTATAAATTTCATTTCTATTTTTACCTTCTACTAATTCTTTGCTATTTCATTTAGGATCATTATAAAAGCAAAAAA